ATTAACAAAGGACAGAATAACAATCCGATATATAAATTAATATCGGCATGACGTGTCCAATTAGTTGCTGTACTCCGTCTCATTACATTAAATTATAGGGCCGTAAATATGCGACGAAAGTGCGGGTTTAAATACTCCTGCTTGAAAGTTAAATGTTATTATTGCAAATAATGTTTTATGTGTTAACGGATTACATCCTGGTTTATGTATGGTTATATATTTCATTTTTATTCATAAACTAGCAACACGTCACGTCTATCGACCGGGTTGTGTGGCATATATAAATGTGATTTTTAGATTTAACTTAAAACCTAAGTTTTCAGGATTTTATTTTATATCCAAAATAGTAAAGTTACAGCCTATATACTTATGTCCCACTGCTGGGCACAGGCCTCCTCTCATTTCTGAGAGGGTTTTAGGGCAAGGAAGTGTCCGCCGCGCTGCCCCAATGCGTGTTGGCGAACTTCACATGTCTTCGAATTTTTTCTTTTTATTTCTCAGACATGCAGGTTTCCTCACGATGGTTTCTTTTGCCGCCAAGCACGTGGTAAATCAGCACTTAAAATTGCAATTAACAATTTCATTGGTGCCGGTGGACATCGAACCCGGGTTACTCGTGTTCTATTATATTTACAGCGAGCGTTAACCATCTGAGCTACCGCGGCTCTACATATCCATGTAGATTGCTTTACAGCACCCATGGTCGTGGAGGGTGAGGCTTATTTTGGTACCATGGGTGCTGTTAAGCACCAGAAACGTCGGGAATTAAAATTTTAAATTAAACGCGATAAAATCTGTAAAAATTAGTTTCATTTAATGCATGGTGTTCGCGTAAATATAAGAAATCGTTACTTAGAAATGTTATATCCCTTGATATCACATACTATGTCCGGCGTTTCCATTATAGGGGCTGATAAACGATTTCTCCCTTTTTAACGTTAAAAAAATGACTTAAAAATGACTTATTTTTTAACGTCACTTCTACATTTTTTTTAATACATTATAATTAACTATACAAATTGACACTTTAATATTATATGAAACTTATAAATTAACACTTATAATATTATATGACATTTATAAATTAACAATTATAAACAAATCTTATAAATTGTTTTGCAAAAAACATCGGGCAATTAAGCAAAGAACCTGAACCTGAATCTGAACTCCAAATTTTGTAAATTAATTAGCAAGGGCTAGTTTTCGTGAGTTTTATCATACTTTGATTATACATATATATGATAATACATTTTTTTGATTGAATTAATCAGAAATAATGTTAATATGAGGAACCGTGGCAGGTCAGATGGTTAGCGCTCGCTGTAAATTTCATAGCACGCAAGCAAACCGGGTTCGATCCCCGCCGGCATTTTTAGTGCTCGGCGGTGAAGGAAAACATCGTGAGGAAACCTGCACGTCTCCGAAATAAGAAAAAAATATATTTCGAATACATGTGAAGTTCGCCAACACGCATTGGGTCAGCGCGACGGACAATTCTTTGCCCTCTCAGTAATAAGTGGAAGCCTGTGCCCAGGAGTGGGACTTATATAGGCTGTAACTTTAAATGAAACAAATTTTTTGTTTGTTTTTTCTTTGTAGGGTAAAAAGAGATAAAATTTTAGTACGAAGTGTGACTTCCTCTTGCTGCAATCGCAGCTTGTACTCGTCTGAGTATGTTAGCGAGTAATATCTTATGGTTTCTTGCGAAATACCTTCCCACTCCGCGGTAATCACATTTTTTAGCTCTCTGATGGTCTACGGAAGCGGCTGCACTGATCTCACTCGTTGCTTCTATTGTAACTCATGGGCACTTATAATTATTACTTAAGTATCCGACAGACACCAGTCAAAACATTCCAGTCCTGAAGACCAATGGAAAAATAATGAATTTATTTACTGACATATTTACTTGATACCTATACCAGATAGAGTGACGACCTGGTAAAACATACAGGAAGTCGATGGATGCAGGAGGCTCACGACCGTGCTTTCTGGCATTCCTTGGGGGAGGCCTATGTTTGGTATTGGACTTGTGAAGGGTTGTAATAATTATGATGATGATTATTACTTGACACTACTTGACTTTATTTATGTACGTTGGGAAAAATACGTTTGATTTTAAAATAAGTTTTTATAACTTATTTATCTAATCAAAACAATCGCTAAGTTATGAAATAAAACAATATATTAATATGGTATAATCTAAATTGCATTGTAAAAAATGTCTGAAATTTCGCAAATTTTATCTACATACATAACAAAACCTCCGTAGTACGTGTCGAAAAAGTAATCTCGTAACATCGCAACCGTTAATTCGACCTAATCCATTCGACTCATAATTATTATATTCGTTTGTTCCTCGCGGCTGAGTACGTTTTGTTTGCGACCCGAATGCGTAATGAGCGAGGCTTTCCAAGTATCGGGTTGGCACTTATCGGGCGTGCCATCTGACTATTATATTACCAAAATACCACTTTAAATGCAACCCGTTGTAATCCTATAATTAACTTAAATGTAGACTGGCAGACGGCGAGCAATATGAACAATAATGTGTTAGGAAAATGCATTTTCGACGACGAAAATTCCAATGTCGGACGCTCGAGGAACTCCCAGCGAATTACAGGGTTTTGCTTTATTAAACGTAATCGTTGTTTAAGACAGATGTTTGAAGCCGACGTGCATTTGAAATTGGTTATACTACAAGTTACACAATCAAAATTAGTTTAAAAGGCAAGTTTCTCATACAAGTATGTAAAGCAAAATTAAGAAAAATTCATTGTTTGTGATTTAAAATCATATCATCATCTCCCTCCTTTTTTCTTTAAAACTTCTTTGATAGAATAAGGGTGACTAATGAGCATACAGTCCATCTGAGTTTAAGTGGATGCTGTGGCCTATAGACATCTAAATATATGCTCAATTAAGAATCAAAATGCAGATGTGTTGTCACCCCTGAGGACTAAGATGTAATGCCTTGTTTCCAGTAAAAAGGGTTTCCGGTTTTGTACACTTACCATGCGAAACACAGCAATATTGAGCTGCTATTTGACGCTGGTGTTCTGTGAGAGCGTGGACCTTCCCGGTCATGTCGACCCATTCGTGATACAATCATAATATTTATAGCTGCAGCACGGCTCTACCGCGTATGAATCACTAAAAAGGGATGATGTTTGTTTAATTTAAAGAAAAAAAGTTACTAATATACAGTACACATTTGTATAAATTTAAATTAAATAGAACAAAAAAGTTGTACATATAAATAATCATAAATGTAACCATCAATTCATTTTTATAAAAGTGAAATCGTTAAAGAAAAAAATACTTTAAAAATATTTTTTATTTTTACAATTTTAAGCAGGCTCAGTAAGGTATCAATTTTTGGGTACCTTACCTCAAATCTTAATACATTAAACACTATAATTTATTATATTATAGGTATTATGTTTTACTTTTAGCCTTATTCCTTGCATCCTGCAAATATAATTTCATTTAATAAGATCTAACAATCCGTATTTTACCGCCTAATACTTTGATTTATAACATGGGCAAAACTTTTTATTAAACTTATATCCCGTAAAATTCTCACATTTACAAGTATAAATTGCGTGTCACTGATACTGTTTTTGCGTACTGTTTAGGTTATGACATTGCATCTAAACAAATATATAATGAATGGGTAATATAACACAGGTGTTACAGGTATACGATATAAAAGCTGTTACAATATCTTTTATATGTCAGAGGTGAAATACCTGGACTTTTGTCGTCAAGTACCGTCAAAGTAAAAATTTCTTAGGGAAAGGAAGTGTTCAGTGCGCTGCAACTATGGGTGTTGACCGACTTCAAGTCTTTGAAATTTTTTTTTATTTCTCAGTCAAATAGGTTTCCTCATGATATATTGCTTCTTCACGTGGTAAATCAGCACTTAAAATTTAAATCAACAATCTTAGTGTTGCTAGCGCAGATCAAACCAGGCTAGCTCGCTTGATAGTGAAATTATAGCGAACGCTTAAGGCACTCTTATACTGACACTTTAGGTATTTAGCGCATCTCCAGCGCGCGCGTAATAAACAACGCAAACACCCCAAAAAAATGAACTCACTTGATCCCGGCACCGTGCTACTACAGATCACAGTACAAAATAGTTTGCAGTAGGACCACTTCTTATGATTTGAACTGTTTTTAGTTTGCAGTGAGTAGTTACAAATTACGTCTTTAGTTAATGTTTTGTATGATGTATTAAATTTATACGTATTTAGTTTTTTTTTACTGATTTCGATTATTTAAAAAAAAACTTTGTATAAAATATTAAATTAAATTTCTTTTTAATAATTTTATGTAAGTTTTACAAATGCGTAAGTATTCAAAGTTAAATAATTACAATAGTGATCTAAAACTACATCTTAACCAATCGATCAACTATGAAACAATTTCTAAAACTCTTCCATACTGAGTTGGTGAATTCTTTTAAAATTTTTGTCAGGTTCGTTAGACGTTCGATGGTCAGTCCTGAATAAATCAGGTCTGTTATTTTCTTTGTCTGGTACATCAATTACAGACATGGAGTCACATTCCAGTTTTAGATCTCGGATCGCCATCCCACGCGCATATCTGCTGTCAACAATTTCTGTGAGTAAGCAATTTTTATAAAAAAAGTACTAACTTTGGCTCCATAGTTTTCCAAAATTCATCATCTCTTTCAATATATTTTGTGAAAATTGTTTCATTGTCACCTGACCAAATTCCTAATAAACAAACTTTCCTACCCGTAACATGCAGCTGGCCCTGAATTTGGTAGTACCAGTTACTTTTCTTGTTTACGGTCACCGTGCCTGTTTTTTTGTCGTATTTGAGAATTTGAATTTTGTTTTCCGTTGTATGTAATGTAACGTTTTGTTCTGCATATGGTCTGGCCTGTAGGATTTTCGCGTAAGTAGACGCGTCACCATCACCAATCATTCTACCATATATGAGGCCGTATGAAGATATAGAAGACTTCTTCAGATATAGAATCCTTCGACTATAATCTCATTTTCCATAGACGTTGACGATCCTTCGTAATTTTTGAAGCATTTATGCTCCTTAGGTGAAATATTGTTATTTTCAGCTCGGGCACACACAAGACAGTATTTATTTTTCACCCCAATGTAAAGAATTTGACCAGTTTTTCTGCCGATAATAGCTGCAGTACCAGATAATGCTTTATAATTAGAACCATAGGATCGAGCGCACCAGGAGCCATCAACGAGAACATCAATTACGGGAAAACCACCCTTGGTTTGGCCTTCTTCGATAGCTATTTCTTTTTCTTTTTCTGCAGCAGCTGCCATAGAAGAACTCGCAGTTTGTTCCCATTTTTTAAGAACCTGATCTTGATATTTGGTGTAAGTATTCAGAGTAAATACTGGAACGTCTATTGCTGAACATAGCTCTTCAAATTGAGAATAACCAATACCAGAAGCAACGATGCCAGTGGTCGCGGCAATGTTTAAATTAATTTTTTCAGTATCATGTGTGTTTTCAGATTTAATTGTACAGATATTTTTGCACATATTGCATTCAAATTTGAAAAAGGATATAAGTCCTTCTCTTTTTTTCACCCATTAGACGAAAATTACTCATGTTACAGTGGAACAATTCATTATGACAAGCTTTTTTTTGTAACTCTTCCAAGAGGTAATTAATATCAATGATCCGCCGTCCTAGAACATGCTGAAACTCTTCATTGCTTTTTTCAGGCTTAATTACGTATGAATCGTCATTGTCTTCAGTTGGTCTGAAAAAAAAAAATTCAGTGAAAAATAAATAAATTCAAATTGTAGATGAACCCCCTTGGGTTCATCTACCCGTGAAACTAACAACTTTCCTAAAGAAACCCATATCGAAATCTGAAAAAAAAATCGATCTCCCAAACAAAATATGTTACTTGACTGGACAATTTGTATGGCAGAACGATTTTTTTTTTAAATTCGATATGGGCTTCTTTATTTTTAAATAGCTACTTACACATAATTCGTTATATTCTGTACATTAGAATTCAGTGTAGTTGTGCTACTGCTGGGCAAATTACTCTGTTGTCTGAAAAATACATTGTCCAATTATTAAAACAGCACGTGTCAGCAAGTAATATCAGAAACTATAAGGCCTATAAAGCCTATTAAACTATAAAGCGGGCTGACAGAGGTGCGAAAAATGAATTTCCATTGTCCGCGCCACTGTTACTAATCACGCCAATATTATAAATCGGAAAGTTTGGATGTTTGTTTGTTACTTAATATCCTTCAAAACCACTGCACCGAATTGGATGAAATTTAGTTCACAGATAGTATATGACCAGGATTAACTTAGGTACTTTATACCGGTTTTTATAAAATACATGTGAAGGATGTGGCGAAAATCAATTATTTCACATACCTAATGTATAATATGTCGCTAACATACTTACTTTTCATTGAGTTTTTCTTGTGATCTAAACATGCCCTTGGTCCGTGGTGCTTTTGCACTGAAAACAAAAAAAGGTCACAATTGCTACATTCAGTGGTCTTACTGTTGTATACTTATACTGTGACATATAAAGTAAAAATAAAACAATTGTTTTTATTGTTTTTACGTGAAGTTGCATTTATCAATTTATTTGTTTTTATTAAAAAGTGAAAATAAATATATTTTATAGTATTCATTCATACTCACATTAATGTTTTTTTCAATCTTCGTATTTTTAATTTTGATAATTTTTTATATGCTGTTTTATTTCCCATATTTCTGCAATTCTTATATTATTTCTGCAATTATGAACTGCACTTATATGCTGAAATATAAAACTTCAATCTTAAGTTTACTCGCGAGCAATATTTTCGAGATCGGAACGGCGGTGCACGCGAAAATTAGACACAGAACCTACTTCGGCAAGGCCCGGCGGGCGACTAGCGTGAGCAGAGCTTGCATTCTATTATATTATTATATATTATTTAGATTTATAAAAAGTAAATAGCAATTTCAAAAAACGAACCGCAGAATTGTTTGTTAAAAACATGTTTGGATATTGTAGTTTAATTTTTATAGTTATTTACGTGGTATTTCAGAAATGAAACGAAATAATAAAACTCAAAAGACCAAAGTTTAGATAAATTTTCTATCGTAAAAATTTTGAAATATAATGTTTTCAACCGCAGATTTGTGAACCTCATATCCTTAAATTTGTTATGTATTTTTTTTTGGGTCTTGGAAACTTTATTAGAGTCCATGAAATTGTTTTGAATATCAGTAATTTACTAATAACCGGGCCTTAACCAATGAACTAACATGGCTCTTTAGTGTCACGGCAACTCTGACGTCAAAAGTGTAACACATATGGTTTTATGATTATTAATGCGCTTACTAAAAGTAGTGATTGAGGCAAATCCTTTTTAAAATGGCCTATGTCCAACAGTCTACTGTTACTGGCTAATAAAGAAGAAGAGGTAATGTTCGTAATATAGATTTTATCAATATACTCATATATTGATAAAATCTATATCTTCCTTTTTTATTGCCTCGTTGGTCTAGTGGTTGTAGTAGTGCGGCTGGTTATCGTTCGGTCCCAGGTTCGAATTGCCGGTCGGGCCCAAAAAATCAGTTATTGAGTTTTTTTCCATTAAGAAATTTTCAGTAGCTGCCCGGAGTCAGGAAGTTGGCGGTGTCTCACCCACGTAAAGTTGTTGGTCCTGCGCCTGATCTCTCTCCGATTGTGTCGGTTTACCGTCCCATCGAACCATGAGAGTAAGGTACACTTGGGCACTATAATCCTGTCTTGTGCCGATAGCTAGTCTCCGTTGCGGCAGGTCGCCGTGACCGAAATTCGTTCTGGAGGACATTATTATTATTATTATATCTTCTTGTATAGATTACTTGTAGATTACAGCCTTTGCGAACTCCACTGCTGAGCATAGGCCTGCACCAAAATTTACCTTATATTACTTACTCTATAAGGGTTTTTTGTCATTTGCCATAGTGCTATGCCTGACAGGTAATTTGCCAAGTGCATTTTTTTTATTTTGAGGTGGTGTACTCTTCTACATTAAATTAAATAATAATTGTTAATTCTTCAAAATCAAGTCTGGATAACTGTATTAGTACTAAGCTTTAAAAGGATACTAATTAACAGATGTCCATGTCTATCAAATGAAACTTCGGCTATGGTAATCCAAAGGCCCGCTAATGTTACACCTCGTCGTCTGTCCAAACTGGTAGCATATTAGCATAGCTATATCGGACACCCACATCGCAATATCACCAGGCAGCCGTATCAAAAGGTAATTAAATCGTCAATACACGAACGGTATATGAACGGCCTACCAATGTCATCAAAGATATAAAACGCATTACATCGGACGCACTTTAGTCAGGGTTTTGAGCGTACCTGTCCCAAACTTTGTCAATACGAAATCTCCTTACACATCGGCCTGTTTATTCGCCTGAAATTTAAAAACACTGATGGATTTTGATGCGATTTTTACAATAATTTAAAGAATTACTTTAGGTAGGTCATCGCGTATAATTCATGAAAATTTTAACTAAATCGTCAAAATATATCACCACACAGGTGAATGACCCTAATGAAGTAGAGGCGAGTCACCAGTATATAAATAAACTAGTTGATACCGTGATGAGACAGTCAGTCAGTATATATATATATATATATATATATATATATATATATATACATATACATATATATAATATGTAACGTAATTAACGCACACCCTCAGACACCCCAATTACTATATTATGTTATAATCATAATACATAGGTACACTGAATTTTTAGTTAAACATTTTTATGCACTGATTATTTATCAAATTAGTTATATACTAATTCCGGAAGAATGTTGTGGTCACAGTACAAATCCACTAACTCAAAGACTTTAACGTGCTTGAAATAAAGTTCATTTTTCTTTATTTTTATTGAATGACAGAATTAGTAATAATACAAATAAAACTGCAGTCTTAAAAGTCTTATTGCCTTAAGTTACGGTCCATTTCAGTTTGCTTTGACTGTACAGATTTAGTGTGACTGTAATTTACGTAGTTTTAATTATTTTTGGGATAAAAAATTACCTATATTAAAAATGATAGGAATCGATTCAGTAAACGATTCTGAACAAACTACTTTCTCAAAGTGCGTTAATTGTGTTACATGTTGTATATATAAGACAATAATATTAAACAATAAAAAAGATCAAGGACTTAAGCATCAAAAACTGATTTGAGCTAAAAGATCCGTCCTCCGTCATTTTCTTACAAAATACTCGTAGTTAAATAAAAGAATATATAAATTGGCAAAAACTATAATTTTTGACAGATTATTCGTTTTTGAAAGCAATTTTTAGATTTATATTGAAATTTATTAAAGAGTAAACATAATAAGTTGTCGTATTTGGTTAGATTCTATATCAATGTGCCGTATTATGTGGCCCAGCGGTTTTGCCAAAGTAAACCGCGGTGAAACTACTAATGAACAGTGTGAGGCTTCCAAGGAACGGTCGGTGATGCGCATAACATCGCTGCGCTATGAATTATTGATATCAGACTAACTTATGCGATAAAACACTTGTCTCTTACCGTAAAAGCCAGTATAAAACCTATCGTCGCTTACATTCTCGATTTTGGCAATTTTCCACAAGCTAGTATGGCTTTCCCTAATTTAATATCGTTGTAGAAATTCCGTCGTTTGCGTATAAATAGCCCTTAAAAGAGCAGTATTGATTTAATATTGGTCCTCAGACCTTTTATATCCGGGATTTTACTAGTACAAATATTTTCAGATGATTCTTGTTTTTAAAGAAATTAAGTGCGTTTTCGCGTAAAGCTACTATTATAGGTATTCCCTTTACAATATACAGTATTATTTGAAAAGTCCCATACTTAATATGAAAGTTTATTTTTGTATTATATTAAGATGTATACGCTACTGTCCTTTATTAAGTAAAACAATGGCGTGTAGAATATATAGTCTTTTTATTCCTTTTACTGGAATACAAAAAAGATGATTCTGTTTTACATTTTTTCCAAACTAAGAAACTAATAATCAAATGTATACGCAGCATTATATAAATTTGATAGAATCTATATTATGAATGTTTCAATAAAACTATAATAAACTTTAATCCACATGTTTAGATCGCAGAACATAACATTTTATCAACAGAAATATTAACCTAAAAAGTAACAGATTTGTACACTGATTATTAAAAACAAGTGCTCTATGAATTCATCAAAAAATCTTGTAATTTTTGTTCAGTAAATTAAAAATACTGGTCTTTAAAACCAGGATGCGATTTACAATGCGCGCATGTAAAGATTCGGGCTTTGACAGCGATTAGACAAAAGCTTTTGACGGCGCAAGTACTCGTTTTGGAGACAATCATTATGAGAAAATCTTACAAATGACTAAAGCCACAGTAATAAAGACATTCATAGATGTATCCCGTGTAGTTACGAACAACACTCACGTTTGCGATGGATATCTTAGACAGAATAAAAGTACCGACTGCTCCGTTGTGAGATGCCGCGGA